GAAATCTTACTGTTCTTCCAGAACGCGCTGTTTAAAGTTTATTTTCAGATACTGTCGAAGTATCATCGTGCGTGTTGGTTGCTGGATGAGGTATTATAAGTGTCGGAGTCGTGTCGTTCGTTTGTACCGAAGGAAAATAGACGTAGATAGGATTTCCCTCTAAATACGCTGCTTCGAGGCGATCGATGCTGATGCTATCATTGGTTCCGTCCTTATCGATTATATAGTACTTAGGTTCGCGTTAAAGAACTTTGAAAGGTTCTTCGTATGCTGATTCGAAGGGTCGTCGACGTACAAAGACGTGTATACTATGTCGTAAGTCAGGTAGAACGAAAACATCAGTTGATTGAGGTCGAGTGGAAACAGGTTCAACTGAACGCATTGCGTTTGCACGCCTGTTCGTGTAGGAGGTTAGGTCCATGTTCATTGAAAAGGATGAAGGATCCGCGGATTCTCCTGAAGGTCAAAGTATCGTTCCATAAACGAGTTGAGCCACAGTGTATCCAATGTCGGCCCTCACTGCAGTGCGGATACCTAGTAAGACGAGTGGAAGAGCGTCGGTTCATTGTGAAACGTTTGCAGGTGATAGTGAAGCTTTCAGTTGTCGGTGAAAATGTTCTACCAACCCGTTTGCTTGTGGATGTTAGGCGGTCGTTCGGAAGCGAGTGATTCCTAAAAGTGTGGTCAGACGACGGAAAAGTTCAGATTCAAACTGACGTCCGCGATCTGTAGTGATGGTTGAAGGGCAGACGAAGTTTGCTACCCATCGTTCGACGAAGGTGCGGGCCACTGTTTCAGCAGTGATGTCCTTGATAAGTACTGCTTTTGACCATCGAGCGAAACGGTCTACGCAAGTTAAGAGATAAGAGTATCCATTTGAATCTGGTAAAGATCCTACCAAATCCAGATGAACATGGTCGAAACGAGCATCGGGAGTCCTTATTGAGCCTAAGGGACATTTATTGTGTCTGATAACCTTAGATTTTCGGCAGCTTACACAGAAGCGTGCCCACTCCCACACGTCTTTATTCATACCAGGCCAGCAAAACCGTTCTGCTATAAGCTTGATGGTTGCACGAACACCTGGATGAGAAAGTCTGTGCGACGTATTGAAGACGTCGTGTCGATAATGTTTCGGCACGATTGGGTGATCCCTACCTGTAGATGTGTCACGAAGTAAGGTTTCCTTACCTGTTCCCATCTGTTTGATGCGTAACTTGAGAGTTGTAGACGATAACTCGTGTTGAAGATCAGTGTCTTCTTTTTGAAGCTGGAAGAGTTTCAGAAGGTTGATTCCTTGGAAACTGTTCAAGGAAGTTATTCGAGACAAGGCATCTGCGACTACATTGTTTGCTCCAGAAATGTGTTGGATGTCTGAAGCAAACTGCGAAATGTAGTCCAGTTGTTGAGACTCAAGAGGTGAGTACTTTTCTGAAGAGGCGCTTAACGAGAAAGAAAGAGGATTATGGTCAGTAAAACGGTGAGTTCACGGCCTTCGATGTACTGTTGAAAATGCCGTACAGTACAATACATTGCTAGTTCCCTACCGAATGTGCTGTACCTCGATTCGGTGTCTAGCAACCGTCTAGAGAAAAATGCCAAAGGTTGCCAAGAGTTGTTAACCCATTGTTGTAAGACTCCTCCGATTGCTGAGTCGGTTGCGTCTACTGCGATGCTAATGCGTGCTTGAGTGTCCTGATGTGCAAGCATTGCTGCTTTAGCGATGAGTTCCTTAATTGTGGAGAATGATTCTCGTGCGGTGTTGTCCAAATCAATGGGTTTCGCAATTCCACGAAGTTGGTCGGTAACAGGTTTCATGAGTAACGCGCACTTCGGTATGAAGCGTCTATAGAAACTTACAAGGCCGTTAAACGTTCGTAATTGCTCGATGATGGTCGGTTCTGGGTAATTCAGAATGGTCGCCACTTTGGTCCTAAGCGGTCGAATGCCTTGAGCATCTATAGTGTGTCCTAGGTAGTCTAATGAGTTAGCTCCGATTTGGTATTTCTGAATGTTTACAGTTCTTCCATGTTTTTGTAGTCGATCGAAAACAAGATCCAGATGCTTGAGATGTGATTCTCTGTCCGGACATGCGATCAGGCAGTCGTCATGTACGGAGTTGAGACCTCGGAAAACGTCATCCATGAACCTTTGGAAGGTTTGTGCAGCGTTTCTTAGGCCGAAAGGCATTCGGAAAAAATCATAGAGTCCGAAGGGAGTTATGATAGCTGTTTTCGGTATGTCGTCAGTGGCCATGAGAATTCGGTTATACGCTTTAACCAAGTCGATTTTCGAAAAGACAGTTGTACCTTTCAAGGTAGCTGTCGAGTGGTGAATGTGAGGCAACGGGTAACGATCGGGAATGGTTTTCTCATCCAATCGCCGATAGTCACCAGTTTGACGCCAATCGTTGCTATCCTTTTTAGGGACCATGTGCAACGGAGATGCATATGGGCTATTTGACGGTCGTATGATTCCTAAGTCTATCATGTGATCGAACTCGTTTTTCGCCAACCTTAGCTTTTAGGGGGCTAGTCGTCGTGCTTTAGAGAATACAGGTGGTCCTGTAGTCGTGATGTGATGTGTAACGTTGGTGGTTACACACGGTAGTTTCGGTTGCGTTTGACGAGTCCCAGGATACTTATCGAGTAGTGGTTGATAAAGTGGGTCTATCGTATGCTTAATTGTGAGTGGATATAATCTGCAACCAGAAAAAGAATTACGCAAACGGATAAATTAGTATTTCCGTCTACTAGCCTCCGTTTGTGCGTATCGATGAGTAGATTATGGTGTTGTAGAAGGTCTATACCAATGATTGGCATAGAAACATCTGCAACAATGAAGATCCAGTGTATGGGTTTGCGTAAATACACATTGAGGTAAACGTACCTTTTGTCATACGCAGCGATAGGTTTTCCGTTTGCCGCCTGTAAGTTTAAAGCCGATTCGTAAAGTCGGTCGTCAAAATTGGCTGGGAAAACGCTAACTTCTGCGCCGGTGTCGACGAGGTAGCGAATTCTCGTTGTCACATCTGTGACGTATAACAGACGGCTGTGTTCGCCGGCTACGGTTGCCATTAACGCAGGGTTTTCTGCAGTTTCTGAAAGACTTTCCATACTGGTTATGATACCAGCACCAGTTGGGGTTATCCGTCTCTCGTGATCTAGAGACAGGTCGCTTACGTGAAATGCTTCTACGTGGGGTGCGTGATCTCTTACGGTCGGTACGAAGATTGAGATAACGCGTGAGTGTATGACATAACTCGGTTATGTCATTCTGAGTCGTTTGAGGCTTTTCTTTGACTGAAAAAACCTCTGTTGTAGAAGATTTCGTAATTTCTAAAATGCGGTCGACAGATGCAGCTAGCTCGTTTAGGGCGTTGTTCTGAAACGAGACAAGCACAGTTTGCACCTGTTGAGGAAGTTTAGACAAGAAAAGTTGTTTGAACAGACCTTCGTAGAAAGTTCTTGGGCCTATAACCTCTCTCATCCGTTGCAACATGTCCGTCGCAGAACCGTGTTGCAGGTCTATGTTATTTAAGAGTTGACCTAACCTTTGTCGATCGGTTAGGTTTCCTCGTTTAAGAATCGAACGCTTTGAGGTTTCGTACGGGTCAGAAACATCACTAGTAAACATACTTGGTGTTACGTACCTGTTGAATTCGCGCGATAGTGCCTTGACTACTGCGAGGAATTGTGCACGTGTGTCGATCACGCCGTGCTCGGAGAAATCGGCTTCTGCGTAGCAAAACCAGGCTTCGATGTTGTCGGGCCAGAAAGGCATCAGTTGAAACGAAGGTGGGGACAAGGTCTTAAGCCTGAGTACTTTAGGTGTCTGTTCAGTCATGATGAAGTATGAAGTACGATAATGAACGAGGGGAACATATATATATATATATATCCAAGAAGCACAAAAAATATCACAATGTATACAAAATTAAAATAAAGCAATGATATGTAGAATACTAAAAGGGAACAGACTCACAGTTTACGATTTGGTGTACCAGATCACGTCAGGCTCACCAGTGATGATGGCTTAGGTATTCAGTGTTTGACAACATTTTAACCATTAACACCTTCTAATATAACTCGTACCCACCAAGAGAAATCAAAAGACAGAATCGAGGAGATCAGAAGTTGTATTTGACGATTGCCAATATATCGGAATTGTCTGATCTAATCTGGCTAGCGATTGCGGTAGATGTTGAGCACGGCGTTCCCACACGTGATCTGATGCGGATGCCTGACCGAGCGCCTTCAGCTAGGTGAGCCCATTAAAACAAATGTGGTCAGCATCCAATGTCGAAAACTTACAGAGCTATTTATTTTGGGGATTTATTTGCCGCTACAGTGCATTTAGTCCGTAAAGTGTGATCACAATTTCGACCAAAATCTACAACACCTAATGATGAAAGATACAAAACTCTAATGCAAATTTTCTTATTATCATATCCGTTTCACCTTTTGTTGCTACAATACGGTCTTCTCACACCATTTCGATTTGCCAATTAATTAACTTATTTAACTATTTATTTCTTAAAACAGTAGTTTTCTCTGAGCGTTCGGACTATCACTTTGTATTTTTTCACGCTGTAATCAACCTTCTGCCTGGTTGATGGTAGCCAGAGTCCTTACTGCCCTGAGACACATGTACTCACTCAAATTGGAAGGTATCCAAATCCACAAATTACTACCAAACTGACTAAAATTAGTGCTGTCAAGTGGCTATAATAACATCCACTGAAAATCAGAAAGTTCATGAAACTGTACCAAAACAACAAGAGGCGACCACAAAACAACCAGTCACTTATATAAGCTCATGACGATGACATTGAATAGGAACAGAAGCGAAATTTATTTCACTAGAGTTCTGAGGGTGCAAACGAGTATCCGTGCACCTACACAAATAAGAACCTTGTCACACAACTCAAATTCAGATATCAAAGAACTATCTTTTCACCATATCTGCTGATTAAATTTTGGGAGTTGTTTAAGTTTGCGCCTTCGGCTCAAGGGCATTCGGGCACGTCTGGATTCTAATATTGTTGACTTGTGTTGTCACTGATTGTTGTCTATTGCTTTCTGTAGTAAATGTAAGTGCATTTGATGGGTCATCGACCCGCATTTTCTTCCATCTTTTCTAGCTCTCACGCTACTTTGCTTGTTTCGTTAGTCCACACAGTACCTTCTGGTTAGACTCAAACCGTTACAATAGCCTGTGAGTTGCAATGCATTCAAGATCTTACACACATCCTTCATGCTTTCTCAGTTAGGTTGCTTTTTATTGTTTGTATTCGTGATGCATGCTACCGTGGATGCTTTGTTTGATACAACGCAACCACTAACTAAATACAAGCATTTTAAAGATTATAGACTACATAGCGACAGTTCTATCTTTCTAAAACTTATACCAATTGACAGGTCTTGGGAAGTACGGTTAGGTAGTAAGAAAATTCATGATTCAGGTGCCGAAAACCGTAAGCAAACCGATGTCTACTGACATTTCGTGATATATTTACGTTATTCTGTCAGTAGTCATGTTCGCAATTCATTGACTATTTGTGGTACATAGTGTAACATCCTAATCTCCCAAGTTTGGGGGAATTCTGGGTAAGTTTTGGGAAACCTCCGAAGTCGGATGGCCTTGACCAAGGCTAAGGGGGGGAATTTTGGGAAAATGGTGGGGAATTTTCGCAGGTCTGGGGAAATGTGGTTTTTGTACCATTTCTCTTAAATTTCCTTAAAGTTTACTACAGCGGCTTCCCCAGAATGGGTCAAGTTTCCCCCGGAATTGGAAGCTTGGGATATTTTGGCTTCCTATAAATGACATTATTATGCTTCATTTCCTTCTTGTTTATCTGTTCTGTGAAAAATTGTTTGATGGAATCAGGATGTACTTTTTAAAGCAGGTGAAAACACATCGCACACGTTCAAACATGCAAGTATTGTTTTTGCAGTCATTTGATAAGTAGTTAGCACTCATTTTTATTATTTCAACAAACTAGTTGTTTTCTGTTAATTCAACATAGTTATGCATGTGTTGCATTGTTTGAAATTCTTGTTTTTAAATGTGTCTTGGATCAGCAATTCAGTCTCGCTTTTGAGTCTTCTACATTTACTTTGCCTGAGCAGTTTCGTCCTCCGTTTTAGGTCAGAAAGATAAGGGTTCCATTTACAAAACTTGGGAAATTGTTCGGCGTAATGGAAGTCATAACTATACCCGCCTTGTCGGATAACTACATGTATGTAGTTATCGACAGAGCATCAAATGTAAGTTGGATGTTTTTTATTGTATATTCCACCTGAAAACACATTTTCGATTTAAGGATTACCATCTTCAGCTATTAGAAATTTCAGTGTTATTGGGTCTTGATTTAGTGATCTCAATCAAACTATTGAGTCAACTGACCTATTGCATTCAGGTTTGTATCTGTACTTACTTCTGGCCTGGTGCTCAAGTCGTTTGTTCATGAGTATAGATAGTTGAGAGAGGAGATGCAGTTCCATGGTAGCCGGTGACCAACGATCGGTTCATACGCAATTTGTTCCCTCAGGATCCTGGAGCCCATGTGCACCAATGGTTTGGAATCAGGGTTTTCCAACTTCTCTAGCTGGATCCTCCATAACCACCTACCCGGCTAAAGAGCCGGACATTCACTTTTCGTCCTCTCAATTTCGTAAATAACACCATGAGAAGGCAGTTAGTAGGACTTTCCTGACAGTGGCTGTATACGCGTGGTCATGTGAGAGGATTTCGTGAGAGAGAGAGGGAACAGGCTCTCCCCATCCTTGGCTGTATCAGGGCGTTCAGGGGGCTCTTTATGGGATAGTAACTCAACGTTACCCTACTTATCATTGTATGCAGTTTTTTGGTAACTATAAAACATTCCCAACTAGGATTGTGAATATTGCATCGTTTCCTCATTTTGTGGGGATAGTCTACATTTACTCATTATGTTTTCCTACTAATTCAGACGTGCTAAGACAACTTACGAGGTTTCTTCTATTCAAATTTAAACGTTAGTTGACCGAATTCCCCATCATGGTTCCAGAATATCCTGTAGTTTTAATTATTTAGCACAAATTTAAAAAATATCTAACATTTTTTGTGTATAATCTAATACAAGATATGCGCAGTTGTGGATCCAGTGGAACCTGATAAGATTTTGAGTGCAGTCACGCAACGCGGTTTGCGACTTGAATCTATATTGACAACTCATCATCACTCGGACCACGCTGGAGGAAACCTTGACCTTGTAACTAAATGCAGGAAACAAGGCTTAGAGGGAGTAAAGGTGTATGGAGGAGATGATCGTATTAGTGCTTTGACTGATACTGTGTCTCACGGACATAAAATAAAGATTGGTAGCAACCTCAATGTTTGTTGCTTGGCTACACCATGTCATACTACTGGTCATATATGCTATCTGGTTACCGAAGAAAACAGTACCAAAGAAGGGGTGGTATTTACTGGCGACACGTTGTTCCTTGGGGGTTGTGGAAGATTTTTTGAAGGGACCGCTGAACAAATGTAAGTCAATGTAATATTTGGCCATCTATACCGCAAACTGGTTAAGATTAAAACTACTAAGTCCCAATTCTGGCTAAGTAGCAAACTCGTTAGTGAGAAGTTGAAAGCTCTCAAACTCAGTCTCGTGTAAAGTAACCCTTCCACTGTGTGGGAAACCAGGAAGTGATAACCACCCTCACACTTCTAAGAGCATTCGAGACCACCGTATTTCTCTCGTATAAAGTTAACGATAATCACTTGAGAAATCCCAAGTAAAATGAGGCTCTACTGTTTGGTCTAGTATTTTGTTAGCTGCGATCAACTTGCTATAAACACTACCTTCAGGTTGACCAGATCCTCAAAATCAAGTATTCAACCAGTCTCAATCAGCTTAGACTTCATTTCAGAGCAAGCAGTAATCCCGATTTCAAGTGCATAAACTTAGTGTATTCTGTCTTATAAGTCGCTGGCCCATTATGCTTTTATTTTCTCTGGTCATTTTGTCCATAAAAGGCCTTTAAAACTGTCAGACTTGTTCACATCCTAGACATGCACTGTTACTCTAGACAGTCAGAAGGTTAGGTTCTGTCACCGTCTTCACCAAACGTAACTGTCATCTGCGTATCCTAAGGTCACATGTAATTCTCCTAGTAGCTCAATTTCTAAAATGTCAAACCATGAGAGCGCTTTCTGCCAAAGAGTGTCTATCAAAGCTGTGTAGATTTGAGAAAAGCCGGAAGCCCTGACGAATCATACAACTTGTGGTTGGTAACTGCAATGACTGTTTCCCATAAATTGTAACTTGACCACTAATGTTTGAGGAGAGCGTGTATAAGGTTTATTTATTTCTCTGCCGATTTGCGAAGTGGAACTCCGCCTTAAGATCAGTAAATGCATCTTTGGTTGGAAGTCAGTAGATATGTCTGTATTCCAGGATCACGACCAGGTTTAAAGTCGTCTTTGTCTTCTCGGGATCGATCTTTACGAGTCGTAGTTAAGCGTTAGGTAATTGTTGAGGCTAATATTCCATACATTATGTTAGTCAAACTAACTTTTGTAGTTATCATAAAATGGTTTCTGTCCTCATTAATCAAGTAAACCAGCTATCGAGACACCAGGTGAGATTACATCAAGTTTCCAGACTCTATATAATATCTATCAATCTAATTACTAAAACCGGACTCTCATTCCTAGAGAGTAGTCCATCAGGACCTCTCATTTTAGATTCCCTATGGTCAGGTAGCTTATAATGTCGTCTCATTGAGGTTATTTACCAACCGTAGGAGACTGAAGTTCAGTTAAGCTGTTCTTGGAGGTACTATCCCCATCATTCCAATCTCGTTTATGTTGAGTAAATCGTTACTCCATCTCCCGAGATATTTTGATTAACTTCCGAATCCCGAATATCTATTCATTTGACAAGTCGGAAAAGTTGTACATTGTTACCTATAGCTACAAACCTTTCCGCCTATTTTTGCTAACGCTCTCAACACTACTGCACAGCGAAAGCAGGAAAGTTACACACCATTGTGCTGTTGTCTTTCACACTAAATAACTTTGTATTCAAATCTTTTTATCGTCACTGTGTTTTCTCATTGTTCGTATTTCAAAAAATTAAGCCTTAAAATATCATATACGTTTGTACAGCTTGATAATAAGTTCTTTGAAAGGTCTCTTCGCTGAATTTCGGTGTTTCAGTGTTCTCTATTGAATTATTGGGATAAACGCAAATACTAGTTAAAAATGTAAAAAAATATTTACTGGGTTGGATTTCGAACCAATATTTTCAACATTTCTCAAGTTCCTGAGGATTACCATGGCTAGTGTTTCTAATCACCAAGCGAGACAACATCTTTTTTTTTAAAAGTTGCTACGGCGGAACAAGTAGTGGTGTTAAAATTTATTTAAATAAAAAGAGAGTTGAATAGTGGCTAACAGAGGAATCCGGGAGGCACGTTTCTTTCCATATGGGGTTCGATGATTGTTTGTGTCCACCCGTGTTTGTGCTTACGCTGAGATTCAAACCCACTACCTTTTACTTCAAGCAACCACTCAGCTATTAGGTCACAATAGGAGAGAACACATGTATTGTATTCTACTGCTAGCCATTGTCCAACTCGGCTTAAAATCCTTGTGACTCCGTGATAATATTGAGTCAATCCGCTTAAGATACACATCCTAGAAGAAAGTGATCATTTGCAGTTCCTAACACCAATGAGAAGATTCACTCAATCTTCCCAAATATGATTTGAGCAGAAAGCTATAACGGCAAAAGCATCACGTCTTTAAGATGTTTGTACTCGATAGTCCGGAAATACTAACCAGAGTGGTCAGCATCAGTTCATTATTTGTTTTACCAGGGTAACTCATTTTTGTGTCGCATTGAGAAATACCTTTATATATATTTTGGATTTTAATGTAGGTTTAAAGCACTTATTGAGGTTCTTTCCAAGTTACCAACAACAACGAAAGTCTATTGTGGGCACGAATATACTGTAAAAAATCTTGAATTCGGCTTAACTGTTGAACCAAAAAATGACGCGCTTAAACACCGATTAGAAGCTGTAAAACGTTTACGTGCGTCTAATCAAGCAAGTGTTCCCGGTACAATCGGAGAGGAATTAGCAACCAATCCTTTCATGCGTGTTTGTGAACCAGATGTGCTCGCACATGCGAAAACTACCGATCCCATCAAAGCCATGAAAACAATTCGCGAAGAAAAAGATCACTTTTAGATTTGAAACTGATTTGTCTTACGATAACAGCGATGTATTGCAATTTCTTCAACGAAGTCAGTATGTCTTTTTATATTTTTGAACATTTAATATGCTTATCTTGACCCTGAACATTGATAAAACATATTAAATAAATAAATAAAATTGGTACTAATGAGTTGTTTGTTTTGTGGTTAAATTCAGGAATTTACATTGTCCTGGTTTCGATGACCAAGGATATGTTGTGCTTCAGTCCTCTAATGCACTTAAAACCTCTCATCTTATAATACTTTGTTTCGTTGTTATTGTTGCAGAATGTGTTCATGTACGCGTAGGAACCAATAAATTTGTAATTACCCTAGTAATTCACGTCGGAAATGTTTTTTGTCATTGCTTGCCATATTGTAAGTTGTTACTAGTTGTATAGGAATGAAATTCCAGCTCATTGGTTGTATATATAACTACTCTGTTTTGTATTAAGTCGATAAAAGCCACTGGTGATTTGTTTAATCTCTTACCAGCCATATTACTTAGCTATTGTTAATGTCTCAGTAATTTAGCATGGAATCTAACCCTAGCTACACTTTTTTGAGTGTTTTGTGAACTCTATTCATTACATAATGGCCTCCCAAACCTCCAGTTAGACCAACATGATTATATAGATAAACTACTAGGGCATAGCCTTTAAATTTTGGTAGATAAACAGCGGGAGTATTTGTACTACAAAGTTGTGTAATTCATGTTCAGTTGATTAGTTTTGGACAGGTAAACTTAACATTGTTGAGTTCAGAGAGCTATGAAGATTAATTAGAGGAATACAGGCTAATCCACTCAATAATGAAAATCAAATACTCTTAGTTTGTTTTTCACCTGTTCGTAACAGATGTAGAGTGTGGCAGCATCGAGATCTGAATCTATGAAAACATGTGTTTATTTACGTACTTCTTGGTGGTCACGTATTGTCTCGTATTCGCCAGCGTAGGCTTTTATTGTATAATTCTGTTTGCTTAATATGATTACTTTTGCTCCTTTCTGAACAGATCTTTTCCTTAGCTCATTGATGATGATAGTGAGTGGTACCGACGATGTTATATGCTTAGTGAATTTCCGTACACGCAGCACATTAGTTATCAAGTGTACTTAACTTGATTCAGTATTTAAAGACATCGTTTGCTCAGCTTTCCGAACAGTGTGATATAGTTACATTTCACTGTTTCGTAGTTTCGGTATGATGTTTGGTATATTGACCCTAAATCAACATTGAAGTCAATTTATTGTTGATCGGTGTCACCTTTGTGGGATGTATAATCGTGGTCGTTTCGCTTGGTGTTAATGGGTAATTGTGCGGCACGTTCATGTGCATTATAGATGCAGATAGCTTAATAAATATTAATAAACAACCCAATAGAAATGTCATATTATATTATGTCGTGTAGATAACAACAAGAGATCATATGTGTGAAAATAAAAAGCGTTGTCAAATTAATAGGTTAGGTTAGCAGCGGAATATAATGTGGTTGCAGTTAGTTAACTAAAATGTTTCCGTTCAGTCAGTCAGTAACAACGTAGAACTTCGTACGTATGTACATCAGTTCGAGTTGCCACACCACATTAGCACAGAGATGCAGTTGTCGATTCAAATCCCGTAGTGGTAGAGGTAGCAAGAGTTTGGAGATGTTATTTAAAGAGTATAATCCAGTGAAACAAATTTGGAAAGAGGTAAAAAGGGACATGAAGAATTCAGAAGATTATAATTTGGGAGAACACAGAGTGTGGATGCACCTGCGCCATTGCAAACGATTTTGAGCCATGTCATTCAGGGTCTCTAACCATCGGTTGCTATCATCTCGCGGTCTCCAACCAGGTAGTCTACACCTACCAACATGACTCAGTTCACTTGTCAGTGACTTCATGGACTTGTGCCATGTTTTGGTTTGGACGCCCCTAGCTTTCTTCCAACCTACTCCTATACCACTGAACATAGCATGTCGAGGTCGTCGGTCGTTGGGCATACGTAACACGTGTCCGAGCCATCTCAACTGATGAAGTTTCACTACTTCATTAATTGATTTGCCATCCTTACCTAGTTCCCGTGTCCTAACAACTGTGTTACTTACTCGATGGTCCCATGATATACGAGCAATGTTTCGAAGACACCTATGATCGAATACTAGTAACCTACGAATATCCTCTATTCTAACCGGCCATGTTTCACTGCCATAAAGAAGGACGGGACGAACTGCTGCGCAGTAAACACGTCCTTTGGTTGATAGACGGATATCTCGCCTACGCCATAAATGACGCAAGTTGGCAAAAGCTAGTCGAGCCTTCTGTATCCGTGCTGAGATTTCGTCACACACTAGACCGCAAAGGCTGATGAGACTCCCAAGATAAGTGAAGCGGTCGACACACTCAACTACTTCACTCCCTATCACTAGTTCGGGTGTCGATGTAACCCAATCCTGAAGCAACATTTTGCATTTCGAGGGGGAGAATCGCATCCCGAACATGCTTGCATTGTTGCTTAGAGTGGTCAGAAGACTGCATTTTGTCAGCGTCTTCACCAAATAGAACTATGTCATCTGCATATTCTAAGTCAACAAGTGAACTTCCCGGTAGAAGTTCAACCCCTGGAAATTTAGATGAGGAGAGTGTTATCTCTAGAAGTACGTCGACCACAAAGTTGAACAAGAATGGGGAGAGTGGACAGCCCTGACGAACACCACTTGAGGTAATCAATTCTGATGACAGTTCGCCATAAGCTCTCACTCTACCAGTTGTGTTCGAGTAGAAAGCCTTTATAAGGTTAATGTACTTCTTGGGTACTCCTTTCAGTGACAAACACTGCCATAGAACCTCACGATCAACAGAGTCGAATGCCGCCTTAAGGTCGAGAAATACTACCATTGTGGGGCGTCTAAAAACAATGTTTCCGTTACAGTATTTCAAAGTTATAGATGGGTCAAATCAAATGATTTCAGAAACAATTATGAATGAAATCATGAGAATATGAGAAATAATTAAACAGTGGGATATTTTCAAATACGAAGTATTATAATGGTGGTTTAAGTTCACGATAAAGATAAGACGTACTTTTGTACGCACAGTTCTGGAAGTCCTCACGGATGGCAAGAGTTAGCGTTTTAGGGAGTTGGATACGAAGAAATCTGGGTAGTTTGGACATAGTATAAACAACCATAAGATCAACATATGGATCAGTGGAGTGAATGTGTTCGGTTAGATGTTCAGTTATGCAACTCCTAGTTGCTTCCCTCTCACGATTGTAGAACCACATTGGGATATGTTCTCGTATCCGCGTTGGGAGAAGGTGCTGGCTGTGGCATATGTACCTTTCTCCACGACGACAGGTGAACTGGAAGATGTACATACAAGTGATCAAACGAGGAAGCTTATACTTCACGGATACAGAACACTAGTAAACGTTAGTCGCAGCTTCGCTGCTCAGGACGTTTTATCACTGCCGCTAACCGATTTTTAATTACACCAGAAGTTTGGTCACCTTTAACTTGCAGATTCACATAAAGATATTTCTTCGACACGGAATTGCCGGATCCCTCGTTCGGATTTCATTTTATAATCTATATAAAGCGACTCGTATATCCGTTTTCAGCCAAAGTTTTCCTGGAGAATGCAAGTTAGTTAGCATTCTTAATAATGTCAATAAATTGTAGAGTATCATGAACAGAATACTTAAGTTCTTGCCTTATAACCGCTTCCAATTTTTCAGCCAGCGACTGGGTGTTAGGCTAAATTAGACGTATCCAAAACAGGTCGTAACAGTAATCCGGGTTTATTTACTTTCGGCAGTTCACATAAGCGCGGGATGATGATCGGACCCATTGAACATACGTGATTATACAAGTCCTGGGTTATTATTTCCATATTCAAAATTTTAACATCAGTTAGCTGTTTTTCAATTCGTAAGTTTTGAAAATTTAGTACCATTCTTTAGGATTAAAAGCATCTTGTTTAAGTAATCTTGAGGATCAGGAAGTACCATGCCAGATCCTTTTTCAGGTCTACTTAGGACTCAGTCCTTATTTCTTTACAGGAGGATCTGCTGATCTATATAAATTTTGGTCGATAAGTCATTATGATCATTTTGTGTTAATGCATCCATGACAGCAACCAAGTACCATGGTTGTGAAATTATTGTGATGTTGGAATGAGGTCATAAGTTTGATTTACTAGGCTTTCGAGTTGTATTTGCGTATGAGATCTACTGGTTTTTACAGAATTTGGAGCCCACTGATAGGACCTGCATTTGGTTTGACGAAAGTGTGATTAAACATGTATTTTCCGGAATTTCTTTGAAAATTGTCACTTACATCTACATGTTTTAAATATTTGAGTTTAGCAATGTGGGATTGCTCTTCAGTGGCAGTAAAAACAATCCCCAAATTGTTTACGTCCATCTAACGATCCATATGATGAGTGACTTATTAAAGATATGTTGCATTCTATTCCAACTAGTCGGGATTTAATAGCATCGATACAACTAAGTGTATGATGTTCGAGGATTTTCGCCTTAGTCTCCTTCCACAAACGGTGATGAAACTCACTACTTCACTAACGCAAGTTTGGCGGTGTGACGTAAAAGCCCACTGAGTTCCTTTATCGTCTTAGGATCTTTGCATTTCTTCAATAGACATTTAATTCCCAATAAAACATTAAAAATACGAAGTTCAGAGAAGGGATCACTTTGTTATAACTTGTCAATTGAATGCTACTTGTTATATCTGGTCGTCGCTGATTGTTGGTTCGGAAACGCTTATCACTTATACTCGAAACGAGGGAACTCGGCAATTCCCACGACGCGAAAGTAAGGACGCAAAGACTGGTAATAGGTGAAGGTTTAGTGACCCCAAAACACGACGACGATAATCAAAAATACACTCGTTTATATATTGATTGTGCATACAATTTGAATAATAATTAGGATGAAATCGCATATATGGAAAATACTTAGTTATAACATATCATATACTGTGCATAGTTCATGTCAATTGAATACAAGTATATCGTATATTATACAGAATAAAATATCGTACGAGAAAAGCAAAACAATTACTACACCGAATAATCACCACACTGAATCAAAACGGAAGTAATGTTGAGCAAAACCAATCGAATCTTGACTTCTCTTCCCATCACAT